GTGTGTGTGTCTGTGTCTTTATCTGAATTTATCTTGGACCTTGGTCATGTCTAAAAGAAGAGAGTTTTATATTTCATAAAACATGTACAGAGCTGTTTCTGCTCTTGAGTTTTCTCACTCACCCAAGTTTCAAGTTCTACCACTAAGCCAAGGCATCATCGCACAACCGCCACCTGGAAGCTAGCAACCTTCACCGCCCGACAAAGACAATTACCTCTTTCTAGTCTTACGTTTGTTGTGCTCTATTTTGACTAGAAAACTTTATAAATAAAAAATGCTAAAGCACAACCAAACTGAACATTACTATAATCCTATGAGCAGATATCTAATATTAAACGCTTGAACTTCAGCATTTACACACATCACAAGAGTCAACAACTTAGCTCCCAAATCACATGATATCACTAAAACTTTTCCATTGGTTTCAGGTGGTATGCGAAATACCGTATGTGCTGATCCAAACTACGTTAATTATATTTTTATACACAATGTTGTGTTTCGAATGGACCTTAAGCCAAATTCTTTTGGTTTTTCTTTGTAACATTCTTCTCCTTCCTCTACTTCACATACTGAGGGATGATGACAGTTTCCGTCACCCCGAACCAGAAAGTTGCTGCCGTTTTCGCCGGAGCTTTCTATGAACTTCTCAACCGCTTTTCCGGTTTTCTCATCCCTAGACCGGTTAGTTTCGATTACTTCTCTCGCAAGAAAGCTTAAACCTTAAGGGTTTTTCTCCTTCTGATTAGATTTTTAGTTTTTTTTTTCTTTACCTTTTCCACAGAAAATCCCAAAATGGTACTACTGGATCTGTCCAGACTGTCCAGTTGCTTGGACTATTTATGGACTGATTGTTTCTCAGTACGGTGACATGGAAGATACATCGGACGATAAAATGGTTACATTGAAAACCATTATGGGTACGACTCGAATTTCATGGCCCAATTGCTGCTGTGTTAGTGACTTAGTGGGCTTTACTTGCTTTTTTGCTTTCATGTTTGCCTTCGGCATTAAAATGTTAAACTTCCAGCATAGGTAGAAAGAAGGTTTTAAAAGTCAAATGCGTTTTATATTATTTTTAATGAATGATGATACTTTTTAGGACGTGAAATCATGAAAGAGATTTACGAAAAGCTTGTTCAATTCTCAATCACATTTCGTGCCAAGTAAAGCTTTGTGATAATATCAATTATTAATCCCTTCAAATTTAGACCACTCGATGATCCATCCCTTATTAAAAACGTGCATCTTGTAAGACCACGTGGTTCTTCCAATATGTGGATAGATCGCTTAGCAAGTGGATTGAGAGAAAAATTTATAATTTATTGCGTTTCGAAACAAATCTTAGGTTAAATAATATTATCCTCTCATATCTTTCGAACAATTATTTGTGACTATCTTTGGTTATCATCAGAACTGAATTCGTCGGTTACACTAGACATTTGTTTTCCATACCAAAAAAAAAAAAATCCTAACCA